CATTCTGACTCTAAAGAATTTACGTGTGAGGGCAGAACACCCATCTCATCAGACTCCAAATCAATATCCATGACAGCTACATGATCAATATCATCAATATCAAGAACATCATCAACATCATGGATATCAAAATCCTCATCAACATCAACATCATTCTCAAATTCAAATTCAATGCATGTGTGTAGAGAGGATAGAAAAGAATGTTCTTTCTTATGCGAAGAATCAAACTCATCAACAACATATTTATCAATAATTTCATCCAACATGTCAATCTTAAAAACAAAATGGTCTTCAGGTGGGAACTTCATTGCATCAAGAATATTAAAGTGAACCACAATATCAGCAAATTCCATGGATAAAGTTCCAACATACACATAAATCTTGGTTCGGGCAGTTTTCAAAAAAGGCATGCCTAAGATGATGGGAGCGGATCCATGAGAGAATCCCTCCTCCATTTCCAAAACATAAAAGTCGGCAGGAAAAATCAGATCACCAACCCTAACCAAGACATCCTCTATGTAACCTATTGGGTGGGTAACACTCCTGTTGGCCAACTGAATGACCACACCCGTAGGTTACAAAGGACCCAGAGACAAAGATTTATATATAGATGAAGGCATGACATTAATAGAAGCACCCAAATCAAGCATGGCATTTTCAAATTTACTCTTTCTAATCATACAAGGAATGTAAAACATACCTGGGTCCTTGCACTTTTCAGGAATGTGCGGGACTAACTTACCAATAAGTGCAGATACATTCCTACCCATGATGATCCTTTCATCGCCTTTCATTTTACTCTTATGTGTGCATAGCTCCTTCAATTTGAAAGGAATGATGTTTGGGAACTCATTCCTAAACAACATGATTATCAAATCATTAGAACAAAGTGGGTGTTTATAAACAAGCTTGATGAAGATGGAAACATCACAAAGAACAAAGCAAGGTTAGTTGCAAAGGCTACTATCAAGAGGAAGGTATAGACTATGATGAAACTTACGCCCCGGTAGCCAGGTTAGAAACAATTAGATTGTTACTCGCTTATGAATCTTTGATGAAGTTTAAATTGTATCAAATGGATGTGAAAAGTTCAATTTTGAATGGTTTCATAAAAGAAGAGGTTTCTGTTAGTCAACCTCCTGGTTTTGAGGATTTTAAATATCCTGATCATGTTTATAAATTGAAAAAGGCCTTGTATGGTCTTAAACAGACACCTAGATCTTGGTATGAAAGACTTAATACCTTTTTTATTGAGAATAATTTTTGTAGAGGAAAGGTTGATTCAACCTTGTTTATTAAGAAAGTAGGAACACACATCTTGATTGTTCAAGTGTACATAGATGATATTATTTTTGGGTCTACAAATGATTGATTGTGTGAAGGATTTTCACATATAATGCAAGGTGAGTTTGAGATGTCTATGATGGGAGAGCTGAATTTCTTTTTAGGACTGCAAATAAAACAATGGATGGGGGAACTTTTGTCTCCCAAACTAAATATTGTAGAGAAGTGCTTAAAAAGTTTGGTATGGATACTTGTAAAGAAGCCAACACACCGATGGCAACCTCCTGTTATTTAGATAAAGATGAATCTGGTGAAGGAATAAATGAAACCATGTTTAGAGGAATGATAGGATCTTTACTGTATCTAACTGCTAGTAGACCAGACATTATGCAAAGTGTATGTGTGTGTGCTAGGTACCAAGCTAATCCTAAGGAATCTCATTTAATTGCTGTCAAAAAGATTTTGAAATACCTTAAAGGAACCATATCTTTTGGACTTTGGTATCCTTCTGATGCTTCACCTAGTTTAATAGGTTATTCTGATGCAGATTATGGTGGTTGCAAAATTGATAGGAAAAGTACTAGTGGAACTTGTCATTTTATGGACTGTTCTTTAGTGTCCTGGCACTCAAAGAAACAAACTTGTGTAGCCTTGTCTACCACTGAAGCTGAATAGTTGCTGCTGGCAATTATTGTGCCCAAATTTTGTGGATGAAACAACAATTAGAGGATTTTGATATCTTCCTTGATCACATTCCTCTGAAATGTGACAACACTAGTGCCATCAACCTAACCAAGAATCCCATAATGCATTCAAGAACTAAGCATATTGAGATTAGACATCATTTCTTAAGAGATCATATTCAAAAGGGAGATTGCCAAATAAAATACATTGATACTTTACATCAATTAGCAGATATCTTTACAAAAGCTCTACCTAAAGATAGATTCTATGAACTTAGAAGAGAGTTAGGAGTGTTAGACATGTCTTAAATTTAAGATTTATGAAATTTTCGCATTTTTCGTAAACTTAGCGTTTTTAATCGATTATCATAAGATCATAATCGATTATTTTTTGGCTTTTGAGAAAGGTTCTAATCGCAGACAATCGACTATCCCCACGAATAATCGATTATCCTGACTCAAACCCAAACTTGGGTATTCAAGAACAAATAATCAATTATCTTCATCAATAATCGATTATCATACAATTTCTGGAAAATGACTTTTGAACAGATAATCGATTATCACTTACAATAATCGATTATCACGCGACCAATTTCAAAAATAGAGTCGTTGCAGTGAACTCTAATAGCCATAAAACGGCTAAAAACGGCTAAAAAACGGCTAGATTCTCATTTTCTCTTATAAATACTCTCCTATAATCGATTAATGGTCATTCCTTTGCACCCAAACCATTTCTTAAACACAATCTGCAAAAAATCTCTTCCCTTTTTTCCACTTATCCATTTTTTTCATGGCTGATTCAAAAGACCACGTAGGAGGAATGTTGGTGCTTCATCATCTCGTCCCATAAACATTTGACTGCTTCCATCGAAGTATTGATCTAAGATGAGGAAAAGCATGCTGAGTACGTTCACTCTTTGCAAGAACATTAGATAATGGCAGTAAAGTTCATCCGCCTTAACTTTTACAGATTTTACGGCTTTCAATTTTAAGATATCTTCCGCGCTCAAGGTCTTTCGCATCTCGTCGAGCAAAAGGTATGTATATACCCTGATCTTATCCATGTCTTATACTTCAATCTACATTATCGTGAAGACATCATCACCACAAAAGTGAAAGGAGTTCCAATAATTTTGGATGATGACGTCTGGACGACTGTTGCTCAACTAAATATCTGGGATGATGCTGTCAAAGTCCATCTGGGCATCCCGGACTTCAATCATCTCGGACTTCAATCGTCTCCTCGCCTTTCAATCCTTTTTGCGACATCCTGAACAACAAATCAATCACCGGCAGCTGCTCGTTGGTGGATTCAAGGTTGAGGAAAGGATGATCCACTACTTGATTGTATGGGTTCTATGTCCTCATGCCACTAACCATGCTCATTGTTCGGAGCAAGATCTTCTACTGTTATATGAGATTTTAAATCACATACACATTGATTGGCCAACACTCATCTCCAACACTTACTCAAGTCATTCAAGCAATTGGAATTGAGATTGGCGAGACAACATTTCGACAAATGAGATTTGTTGCTCGTGGTCGTGTGATCATTCATAAGGATGATGATCACCAAGATGATGACAATGAAGATATGGATGCTCATATGGCTAACCCAGTCCAAGCTGCTGCTCCTACTAATGCTAGTCCTTCTCATATGCCTTCCTCTTTTTCACTAACTATGGATGAGCATTTTGCAAATCTGTCTAAACAACTGGAGGATATGTGCCTTGCTCAACAAGCTCACTTTGAACATATATATGAGTGACAACAAAATTATGAAGAATATGTGATCGACCAGTTCAATGACCTTGATACTCGTCTTGGAAACATTGAAAATCACTTTAATCTTCAACCTCCAGAAAGACCACCC